CCATAAGCTAGCTAACGGACTCGAAGCCGAAGCTCGGAGTGGAAACAGCCATGCGATTAACAAAATAATAGCATCGTCAACCTCAAATTACACTTTACAAACGTGCTGGTACTGCGCAGGGTTGCGTACCGCCTGGAAAAAAAGTAATGAATTCAAACACTGCCAAATCCAGCTTGTTTTTACCTGGAGCCCACCCCTGCCTTTGTTTTAATTTGCAGCATTATCCTAAGTTTGACAATAACTGCCATGTGGTCATTACAGCATGCACCCGATATTGTTTTTAGACTGTAAACTGTTTCTATACCGGCTAAATATGTAATCAATCTCGTTCCGAAATTATTTCCGGCGCTTAGGCAAGTCCACAACAGTCCGCATGCATCTAAGATGCTGTTAAAAACCATAAGTAAAGGACCCTTTTCCACGCCTTTAGGCGTATAGGGCTGGACCTATATTTAAAGACCAATCGGCACAAGATGGGCGATGTGGCTGGGTCGACCTAGGAGCCAAGGTCATTTTTGAAAATAGTCCGGCTCCGCCAGGGAGCGAACCCACGACCTTCCGATCCGCGGCTAGCGTCTAGCCGCTCGGCCACGGCGACCCCTGTTAATAACCATACCGCGAGGAAAAGTCGAATGCAAAAGATCATGAGGCAGACAACGATACAAGTGGGAAGAAACGATACTATGTTATGGTCGAACAGCATTCTGACAGAATGTAAAACCAAGACGTGAGTGTGTTAGAGATCCATTGTGGCCGACGTTTACTGTGGAGACAGCCCCTGATTGATTGAGTGATTAGTGATTAGAAAGGGTTATCATCAAAGAACTCCGGACAGATCATAGGTGCTCCGATATCCTCCTCAAAAGCTCCAAAAGTGTAAAACGACTGAAAACGCCTGTTCTGTGTTGGTTAATGAAACGTCTTGTCCTTTTGGTGAAATGTTCATTTCTTGCAGCTCCAGGCTGCACCCCCATGTCCATCAGTCTAGACAAGGATATGGAGTCATGTCCTTTCGCGTGTTCCTCGGTACGGTAAGTGCAGCTGATGGCATTGATAACATCACTTCCGTCCAGTACTGGGTCAGCCATAGCAACTGCAGTGTCAGCAAGATAGTCTGCACGCTCGTTCCCTTGAACACCCTCATAACCTGGCACAAAGATTAAGGTTAATGCAAATATTCGTGAAGTTTTTAGTGTTTCAATCTATTCATGCCTGATAAATCCAGCTTGGATTTTTTAAGCATATTTATCGAGTCACTAAGAATGCATATGTGTATGAACTTTTGAGTACCAAGCCATGCTAAAGCCTTTGTTACAGCCATAGTTTCCATTGTAAGGCTACTAGTTGTAACAGCATAGGCGCCATTCATCTCCTTGTTGGTTTTCCCCATTGAGCTTAATGTGAAGGTCCATGCACTTCGGTTACCCTTAATTACTGACCCATCTGTGTAAACTATAAATTGATTAAGTCTACCAAACGTTTCCGGCCCCAGGGTTGCCATATTGGCATTTTTTATGCCAGATTCCACAAATCTGGCATTTTTGAAACTGAACTGACATACGATAATGAACTGGCATATTTTGCCATATTTGGGGTTTTCCTTGCAATATAGATCTACAGTTAACATCTTCATTTCAGTTTAACTTTGTTGTGATGTCCTGGTACGGACTAATGGAGATTCGAGCCATTTCTTATTGTAATTTATGTTAATCTACTAGAATAAATGCGGGATATAAAACCAAAACCCATCACCGATATCAAATTATTCAGACTGTTAAGAAACTACTGGAGGACAGAAAATAGAGAGGATATAGACCTAGTTCTATCTGTGATATATTTTATTACTTCTACCAATGGCCACGTCATCCAAAAAATAGAAAGCATTTAATGACATTGCAAGTATAATCGTCATCATCATGTAGCAGGTCCTTTGCAGAACGTCGCTCTCATCACAGTCTGCCTGTAAGAAACTCGGTCTCTTGCCAGTTTAATAATAACAGGAATAAAACATACCCACGGCCCAAAAGATCTTCAGACGAATCAGAGGCAGCATACTGTAAACTGTGTCAGTGCACTTATGCACCAAAAATTAGTAGCACATCAAATCATAAAAAATCCGAAAAACACAGGATGAAAACTCCCCCAAAAAGCCAGTCACAGCTTATTACAACATGACTCCTAGGCAAAGTAATGATAAAGTTAAAGGCAGCAGAGTTGCAACTTGCTGTATGCATTACCTGCCATTGTGCAATAAGCACAAATGATCATCTAAGTGAAATCGTGAGAGCGCTTGGTCGGGGGAGTACATTGGAGCAATATAGTTAAATAGAACTAAATGTTCATGCCTAATCAAAAAAAAAAAAAAAAAAAAAAATTATATCACCTGCACTTAAGGATGACCTTATTGATGATTTTCGGAACAAGAAAAATGTTATCATTATAGATGAGTTGCAAAGACTTAATACCATCTGAGAAAATACTTAAAGATTTTACATTAAAAAAGGTTTACACTGTATCTTCCACTGTTTCCAGTGAAGATGACAGTAAAGAATTCAATCTAGAGCTTTTGATGTGAAGTGAGTTCAATGTGACACTCTATTTGGCATTTTCTGGCATATTTTGGGTGATGGTTTGGCATAAAATGAAGTTTTTTTTTTATCTGGCAACTCTGTCCGGCCGTTGCTACATTTAGGCGTCAAAATGGCGGCAGAACAGTTGTGGGAAGACAGAGATGTTAGATTTGATGTCAATGCAAGGTGCTATAAATATTATTTTTATCCGTCCAAACCTCTACAAACAATACATATAAGCAAATAGTGTTTAAAAGTGTCACCTTACTGACGGTTATTTGCAATGAGTCTGTAATACTTTCTTTTCGTTGTCTCACTGTGATACTAAGCTTGCAAGTTCGTTGAGTTGCCAGGGCTAGTATTATTGACTTCAAAAGCTAAAATTTAAGAGGATGATAAACAGCTATACGAAAAACATTGTAAATCCGCTGTTTTAAGAACACATAATAAGATTATATAAACACCCATTTTACATTTTCTGTCTTTATCATAACTCAAATGTGCGGATGGAAATTTTTTGATGACTTAGTTAGTTAGTTAGTTAGTTAGTTGGGTTATCGTCATTGCACTCCGGACATGTCCATAGGTGCTCAGATCCTCCCCTCAGTATGAACCCCAACGTCCGATGGCTAATAGTACCAGTTCTATGTTGATTAACAAGTCTTTTGACGTGTCCGGTGTGCGTCTCGTTTTTTGCTGTGCCGATCTTAATTCCCAAGTCTGCCATTCTGGCGAGTGATGTGGATTCACTGCCACCAAAGTCCTCTATCCTTCCCATTTCTCTGAGGGCATTGATAATATCAGCATGATCCATAGGCCGACCGTCGGTAGTGATAGCGGATCCAGCCAACCTGTCAGCTCTTTCATTTCCATCGACGCCTTTTTTGATGACTATTGATACAAATGGCACAATGTGTAAAATAAATGATTATAGCATATATAAAATAGCAAAAATATACAGTGACAACTCAGTGAACACTTTAAACCCTGTTTATAACTTTTGGGGTTGAACAGGATATTTTTGTGAAAATTACTACCTACAGAACTAAAAAAGGAAGCAAAGATCAATAACAGCTGTCTAAGGAGGTTGTTTAGTGATTGTTTAGGATAAATTCTACAAAATAACAGCTGTTCATGAACAAGCTTGTAAAACAAACTCGGTTAGCCAAGATAAATGGAGGTTATTCTTTTAGAAGCTAATGATAAACCTGTTAATTATAAGTATACCTGAAAGTTCTCCCTGTGGAATCCATGAGGCAAAAAAAAGATATAAATGCTTTCATTTAACATATTTTCTATTATTTAAAAATAATATTTGTATTAGGGTAACAAGAAAGGGATCAACAAACAGACAAATAAAGTTTGAAAGTATATGTATGTAAGGAAAGTTTGGAAATATCTGTGTGTAAGGAGAGTGTGAAAGTATCTGTGTAAGAAAAGTGTGGAAGTATCAGTGTGAAAGGCAAGTGTGGAATTATCTGTGTGTGAGGGAAGTATCACTGTGTAAGGAAAGTGGGGAAGTATCACTGTGTAAGTATCACTGTGTAAGGAAAGAGTGGAACTATCACTGTGTAAGGAAAGTGTGGAAGTATCACTGTAAGGAAAGTGCAGAAGTATCACTGTGTAAGGAAAGTGTGGAAGTATCACTGTGTAAGGAAAGAGTGGAAGTATCACTGTGTAAGGAAAGTGCAGAAGTATCACTGTGTAAGGAAAGTGGGGAAGTATCACTGTGTAAGGAAAGTGTGGAAGTATCACTGTGTAAGGAAAGAGTGGAAGTATCACTGTGTAAGGAAAGTGTGATAGTATCTGTGTGGAAGGCCTGCTTATTGCTGACACCCTATTGTGGGTAATGTGGCCTTTACTTGCTAGAACATTTATTGGTACAATTTTAGGCTGAGTTGATCTGGGTGCCCACAAGTCATTCAATGCAAAACAAATCTGCTCTTGATGGGTATTCGAACACACGAAAACCGTTTCACTGTAGGTATTCCCTGCCCAGTCCAAACTTCAGGTTACTATGTAACTGTCAGGACCTCAATGTAACTAGTATATGGTTAAACAGGGTTTCCAAAATGTGTGCCTGTTTGGTTCTCATACATGAGGTGTTCATCCTCTGGACTGTAATCTTGAAAGAGGGTGAACTACTTACTCACTACAGCAGCTCCCAACACTTATCTTAATATTTGTAACTATAGCTAGTTAAAACATATCCTTATAGACTATATGTACTGCATTTAAAAGTGTGTTGAATATATTGTGTTACTGGCATGCAGATTGAAATGTGCAAACAGTATTATTATTGTTCATGTGTTATGTAAGTCACATAAGTTTTAAACGTGTAGTTAGGGTTATGCATGTGTTATATTAGTTACATACACATAGAAAATTTCAGTCATGTAATAATATTGTTTGAAACTCTACAACCATCAGCCAGCTGAAGCTGAGACCTGGAGAAAAACTAATAGACAAGCTGGATGCAGTAGAAGATACCAAAGGAAATAATGGGGACAGAGGTAAGACCTCATTTTTTGTGCTTCAGTATATGTTAAAGTAAATTTTGTACCATGCACCTGATGAAATAATTGGAAATATACCTTCTTCTTTCCTCTACTCCTGGAATGCCTCACAGGTCAGGGCAGGAAGAGATATCTGGAACTGGCCCTTCTGTTCACTTCATATAAAGTACTTTTCAGTGTCTCTGATATTTCTTTGGTCCATTTCTGTGTGGTCGACCTCTGGACTGTTACCGCTGTATCTGTATAGCATTACTTTGTGTGGTGCCCTGTCTGATGCCAATCTTTGTTACATGGCCAAACCATTTGATATGTTTCTACCTAAATAGTTCAATATTGGTTCTGTGCCAACTCTCTTCTAGATGTCATCGTTCCTAAGTCAATCTTTTCTCGTTACACCTAGCATAGTTCGTAAATATTTAATTTCTGTTGTGACTATTTTCCTTCTGTCTTCTGAAGACAGTGCTCTTTTAGTGTTCATGTATTTTAGAATTGGTGCCACTCGGCCTAAAACTTGATTGGCTTTATTGCATCTTTGCTGGGTTTCTTTATTCTTCCGTCTTCTGAAAAAAAAAAAAAAAGTGCTTCCCAAATATATAAAATGCTTTGCTTGCTTTAACTGGTGTTCATCCATTTTGTTATTGGTGGTTCTTCCTTGTCTGGTTGTATGCAAAATGTATGCAATATATTGTTTGTGACCTGCTTAATTAAATTCATCTCCATATGGGTTCCAGTGTCTCATTTTAGGGAGAAAAAACATAGACAGACATACACCCCCCCCCCCCTTCCCCGCCCCTCCCCCCAAACACATGTTGTACAGGGTGATTAAGTACTGATGTTTCCTTCAAAGTAGGAGTGCATTTGCTGGAAAGTTGAGAAACCAGTTTTCTGCAAACAAAAAAGCCAGATCTGTCAAAAGGATGTACATGCAGAACTCAAATTCTGGAACAAGACAAAATTCCAGAAGTGGACAAATGATCAGAACTTTCCACCAGAGTTTGCAGCCAGTGAATGCTAAGAAGAGGATACATTACATTCACAGATGAAAAACATTGTTTTAAATGTTATGTTTTTCTCATACATCTAAAATATATTTATATTACCTTCGATCAATTGTCAGGCCGCCTAATGGTCACAAACCTACGAATTATATGGTATTCCCTGGAGATGCCAAGAGCCAATTTATGTAAGTACATTGTTTCATTTGTTTTCTGGTTGCTGTAGCACATAATCTTGCACTTTAATTTGGTTCTCACATTTTGTGCTTTTAAGAGTTTGTGCACTTTTCTGAGAGTCTTCTTGTGTGATTTGTTGAACAGACAGTACATACACTTTTTATATAATTTGCTAGTGAAACACATTGTTGTTGAATGATGCAAACACTTTAGAAATTATCTACAGTGGTACCTCAGTATGTGTCCTTCATCCATTCCACTTTTACCAAACAGGATGTATAACAAACACACGTTCCCATTAAAAATAAAGGGAAAATTACTGATTTGTTCCCATGAAAAAAATCTTATTGTATTTAACATATTACACATTGATGGGGTTGTATAAAATCATTTAAACACTGCTTGTTACTAAAGTATTTAATACAAAAGCAGTCAGATGGAAAATAAAAATGAAAATTTAACCTGAAAATTTGTTGGGAAAGAATCAAGTGCCTACTTTTATGGTTAGAAGGGAGGAGGAGGAAATGTTATTGTTCAGAAGAAGTGTCCCCTTCCAATAAAACTTTAGGAATCATAAATTCTTGTGTTTTTTCCTCTTTCTTATTCCTTTCTTTTTCTCTTCTGGGACCTGGTACAATTTACATATTATTAATTTTTATTATTCAATTTTTTTTTCAGCCATAGGGTTTAACTGTGTCATTGGAATCTCAATTCGTACAGCACATTCTGTAAGTAGATCATGTGAAATTTTTTCCCTCCAATTATTCTTGTCTTGCCGCCATGGTATAGTAGCTAGACGCTCTCCTGTGGATCGAAAGGTCATGGGTTCACATCCTGACGGAGCCAGACTTTATTTCAAAAGTGACCTTGGCTCCCAGGTCGACCCAGCCTTAAATAGGTATCAGGTACAGTCCTGGGAAGTAAAGGTACACCGTGACTGAGCACTGATAGGTATTGAATATTAGTCTAACCATGCATGCCCAGTACACCTTAGGCGTGGAAAAGGTCCTTAATTTTACTAGTCAGTTTGAATGATTTTATATTATATTGATAATTATTGCTTTTTTAACTGTATATGAAGTAAATAATCATGGCTATTTCTTATGTAACTTATGTAACAACTAATTTAGCTGTAAACTGTTTTTAAGTCCAACTAAAATTAATCAGGGCTATTCAGCTGGTTGCCTTCGGGCCAAGTTTTGCCTGCAGAATCTAACAAGTGGCCTGGCCTGAAGATCATTGCCCATTGTATTGTAATAATACAACTGGCCGTGATCTGAGGGCCACTTGCTAGACCTCTTCAGGCCAGAGCTGGCTTATGGGCTGCCACTTGAATTTAGACCATAACATGTACAATCTTCATAATGTCCCATTATTTTAATATAAATTCCATAGAAAATAATCTTTCAGTGCAGGAAGTAACCAGTCACCCTAGTATTGCCTGCTTGCTAGGGAAGAGGCAGGGGATGTCCTGATGGAGTCCATATGCTTGGTGGTGCCCCACCCGCTAACCAGATGTTCCACGTTTATGACTGTATATCCCACAGTCATTCAGCCCATAGGCACGTCGGCCCACCATAGGCTTAGGTTTTTTTATTGAGGTTGTCTCCTCTAGATACGTTGTGTTTTGTGCCTCTTCGATCACGCACAACGTCTTGACTGTAGAAGAGATTTCCTGATCAAGGAACGTGCAACCTAAGTGTGCCGCTTTCACCCTATAAATAGAAGTACTCATAGGGCTAGACCTAGCTTTTGAGACAGAACAGCTGGTGTGCTCCACTTTGTGAGAGATCAGACATCTACAGCCCTAGATCACTGATCCCTCCTTTGGGAACGAGTGAACAGTGCAGAGGAACAGATGGATCATTACGGTCTGGGGAGAATGGCACTGCGAGGAGTTATAAGGGGATTTGGCCAACGCTCGACATTCAAGGGAAGGGCGAGATGGATATACAGTCAGATAGTTACTGGTACAATCAGAATTTTAAATCTTTGCTTGCTAATTGAGATGGGGGTGGAGCGCTTGTGGGGGTGTCCAGAGTGCTGTAATGTTGATTCTTGATAATAATATAATATAATGTCCCAGAATATGGTGTTTGCCCTTTTTTCTATGTCAGCTTCAATCAGATCTTTACACTATTATAGTCAAAATAAACGTGTCATATAATAAGTAATTTAATAAGTTCATATAGCTGAGGTTATTTCATTGTCAATGAAATGGGAAATACCAAGTGATAAATTATTATATTTATACAGTGGTGATTTTTATTTTTCAGAAAATCCGTGGAGCTGTTGAGGCCTTGTATATAATTTGTAAAAGTAGTTCAACACGCTTCGAATTTATCTTCACAAATTTAGTAAGTGATTACTGTCATTTTGTTATTTAATTTACTCTGGCATTAACTTTTAAAAATTGTATTAATATAATGTCTTAAAGGCAAGGTCAGTAAACACACATAAGTAGAGACATCTGAAAAGGATAACTGTTCATCATTTAGCAGTAATAACATATCATCATTATTATCAAGTGTCTTGCTGATTGGCATGGACGATCATGCCTATCCACAATCTGTGATCTTTAATAGCATGTATCAGTTTGTATAAAGACATCCCTCCATGTCTTGACAAAAGGCTGGTTTTGATGTCTTCCAGTTTGCCTCTTCTCATTACATGACCACAAAGTGATGACTGGCTCTTTCTAATGTTTGCGTTAAGTTGTGTTCGAGCCCTCCCCTGTTTCTTAACACCTGGATTGCTCTTTTTGGTGTCCAGGGAATTTTGAGAATTATTCTGTAAAACCACATCTCTGAGGCCTTTAGAAATTGTTTGATTTGTTTATAAATTGTCACATACATATGTTAAAACTGGCTCTATATAGCAAGCAAGAATTATTTTTCTAACTATCGGTGACATGAATTTATTAGCATAAATTACCCTTCATTTTATAAAATGCAGTTTTAACCTGTCCTATTCTGTTATTTATCTCTGACTTTTATTGTACATTTAGGCACTACTCTTTTCTTCGATACTACTATTACTTCTGACTCCCCATTGTTCAAGTTGAGGCTCATTTATAACTTTCAACCAGAGTAACATATACTGAACTGAAACTATCACTACTTTTTAGGGCTGTGTAGACATGTGGTCGTGAGCCTGAGGATTTGGGGCTGCATGGACTGCACATGTTAGAATGTTTAATTTTGCCACTAACAAAAAAACTCTGTCACCTTGCCCGGGTGGGGGGGGGGAGTTGGGGGTTGAACCCGGGTTTCCCGCTTGAGAGCCCGATGTAATGCTCTGCCAGCTGCTTCTGGGTAATTTATACAACTGCAGAAAAGAAAAAAAAACCACCACTCATTAAAGAAAGCCACAATCAAAATATTCCTTGCTCCAGAAGATGAGTCATTAAAGAAAAGATAGACCATGGCACATTTGGACAGGGCTTTAAGCTAGGACAAACTTGATCTATAGTACATAATGGCATCACAATAAGAGAAAAGAAAATCTGCATTATAAGTATAAAAACCTTATAATTATGTTTGTTTCTAGGTCCCTGGTTCACCAAGACTTTTCACATCGGTTATATCTGTCCATAGGTATGTATTTATGTTGTTTGCTTTTGTTATAGTAAAATATACTTTATAAACTAAATCATCATCATCACGTGCCTTGCGACTGGCGTGGGCGATCATGCCTGGCCACAATCTGCGATCTTCAACAACATAAATAAGTTCTTGTGTTGACATCCTACCATGCCATGACAGAAGGTGTCAAGAATCATCTAGCGTTGTCTTTCTCTGTCTCTTTTCCACAGATATTTTCAGTGGTCACAACATGACCAGTTTTCTTCTTCTCATAATGTGACTAAAGAATGATGTCTATGTCATTCTGTCTGTGATAAGTTGTCTTCGAGCAGTCATCTCAAAACGTCTAGGATGTTGATTTTGGCTGTCCAGGAATTCTAAGGACTCTTCTGTAAAACTAAATATGTAGCAAATATAGGAGAGTTATGACGTCTGCATGTGTGCATCTTTGTCACATATTCCCGCTCTCTCGCTAGATCAGATAGCAACATCTGGATAATAGTATCCGTCTGTCTGTGTTTCTCCCTATACATGTGTCCATGTCAGTGCATTTTCTCCTAAATTGTATGTTTCATATAACCACTTTAATACCCCTTTCGTCTTCATTCCTACTTTCAAGGTATGTTATACCTCCTGCTTATGCATGTCAGATGTCAGCATGCAGTTTTGTAAGTTTTGCTTTCTGTAGACAGCATTTAACATACAGCTGTGAATCCTGCACAATTAATAAACAGGCTGATCAATGTTTTGAGGTCTTGAATATGTGGATTTAAAGAAGAATCCTTAGAATTTCTTGGACAGCTAAGAAGAGTAACCCAGATGTTTTGAAAGAGGCAGGTGCTCGATGACAACTTATCACAAACATCAGAAAATGGCAGTCATCAATTTTTTGGTCATAGTATAAGAGGAGGGAAAATGGAAGATGCTGTGACCACTGGAAAGACTTGTGGAAAAAGAGACAGAAGAAGACAGCACGAGAAGATTCTTGACAGTCTTTTGTCATGGCATGGAGAGGTGTCAACACACACAAAAAACTCAGTTGCAGATCGCATATTGTGGAGCCGAATCGCTCATGCCAGTCAGCAAGGCACTTGATGATGATAAGACAGAGTTTATCGTGATTGTGTTGAGTAAAGAACTGACATCATAACAGTCACAGTCAGGACATTCCCATCAGCACTCTATCCTCATCTTCAGCAGCAATGTCTGTCATTCCATTTCTGATGGTATCAGTGGCAGTCTGATTATATGTTAGCTGCTGCCGCTCCTCTGGGCGGTGAGCTACAATATGATAAAGTGGATGTGGTAAAGGCTTGATGTGATAAAATAGTGCAATAGAACAGATAGGGAATCCCTACACTAAAAGACTAATTCAACTGGGGGTGTGTAGAGGCCCCTGAAGATATTCAACATTGAAGAGAAAATAGAGACGGCATTTTTATCAGGTTGCAACTGGTACTTTTAGCATGTCAACTCTTCGTTGGCTATTGAAGAGGGGGATGGAGCACGTGTGGGAATGTTCCGAGTGTAGTGATGTCAGTTCTTGATTGATTTATTGATTCATAATACAGTGAGTCTGGTAATGATCCATAGGCCACTTGCTAGGCTTTTTCAGGTCAGATTTAGCCAACGGGCCACCAGTTGAATAGCCCGCCCTTGAAACATATTGTGGCGTTAATTTAAATTGTTCAATAGCAGGTCTTTTATTAGTTTTCCTTTTTGTTTTCTTGTTTGCTTTAATGATTGATAATATAGAAGAAATAATTAATTAGTTTGTTTTTACTCCTTAAAGCCTGGGAATTCAGAGCTTTGCCCATGTGGAGAAGCACCACAGAATACTGAACATGTGCTACAGACATGCCAGGTACATGCAGTAGAGAGATGCCAAGTTTGGCTGGTTGGCATTCCATTGGAAACCAAGCTGTATTGATCAGTGGAAGACATGTATCACACCCCTGACTTCATAGAGGTCTGTGCCTTCTTATCTGAAAACCACTGGATGGGAGAACAAAACAAAGACTAATAAATGTTCTATAATAAACTGTTTTTATTGGCAGCAACTGATATTGATATTGGCCTCTCCCATTCTATGGTTATCTTTGGTGCATTAATAATAGTATGTGAATATGTTGTGTCTTACAGAGCATATGAGACCTCTAAAATGTACAGGGATCTCAAGCTTCGGGCAGCCCTGATCAAAGATAAACAAGTGAGGTTGTTGCCTCTAGAGCAGGTGTATGATAAAATCAATGGGGTGTGGAACCTGTCTAGTGATCAGGTTAGTCAGCTCACACTCTTCTGGTATTTGTGTGACATTATGGGTGTTTCTAAATGCCATATTCTTCATCAAACTGCCACATTAAGCCATTCTATCTTAATATTCACTGTAACTCATTTGATCCTTAATTGTTATTATCAGAAGCCGTTCAGATCAAGTCATGTCTTGGTTTAAGTAACAAATGTATAAGATATAATGAGTTCAGATAATGTCTGCCTGGGACTCAAAGAGTTAATATAGGCAAAGATGACATTTATAATTATGAATATATCCTTATTTTTTTTTCTTCTTTCATAGCCATTACATATTTTTAACTGTGATATATAATCAGATATTTCATAGGGTAGGAAGGACTGAGGAACATTGAGAGACAAATTTCAACAAACATCAAAAAGAGGCTATCATCCTTTTGTGGTTACTTTAAGAAAAGAAAACTTGAATATCATTCAACAACTGCAAAGATTTTTGGGAAGGATTGACATGAGAAGTTGAGAGATGATCATGACATTTTATAATGACCTGGAAAGATATCAGCACACAAATGGAAGCCTGCTGCTGGATACCGCAGGATGTGGAGAAACATGTTGATCCATGCCAGTTTGCAAGGCACTTGATGATGCCAATGATGATATTCTATTTCTAAATTGTATTTGTTATTAGTAATATTTTGTTTTCTTGTTTTAACAGTATTAAATTTGCTTTTAAATGTATGTATACTAGCCTTTTTTAATTCATTAATTTTATTTAGGGAAACCTTGGTACATTTTACATTACCAATGTCAGACTGATTTGGCATGCCAACATCAATGAATCATTTAATGTCAGCATCCCATATATACAAATGGTAAGTTGTAATCAGTGAAACCTTCAGTAATTAACTGTTTGAAGTTATTTATTTGCTATTTAATTTGCTGGAAACTAACATACTAAATTATGAGTGAATTTCAGAGGGTCTGACAGAAGGACTTCTGGGATAAAAAAAAACAAATTCTAGTGAATCAGTAGGTGAGGAAAAGATGCTGATATTGGATAGAACACACCTGATAACAGTATAACTAACATGTCCTTGCATTAGAACCAAGGGGTCAGAGGAATAAAGTCAGACCAAAAATACATAAAAGAAGTAGAGAGCGAAAGGAAAAAGATACGGGAGGACAAGGAGTGAGCTGCATGCAATAACAAAAGATAGGATGGTTTGTCATGAGTTGATTGAAGGCTTATGCTCCATTAGGCAACAAAAGGCAGAAAAGAATTACACAAATTGAAGAAGAAAACTGGATAAATAAGTCCCATTTACATGTAATTAACTCTTTAATTAATAGATAGTTTCTGAGTCAATGGCAGAAGGTAACACTAGTTACAATTATTAATGTGTGTTGCATGTTAAAAATAACTATGTAGGTTTCTGTGGTACGCATACACATACAAAAAAAAAAACACACACAGTAGATTACATGACACATTGCTTATCTGTGTGAAAAAAAAAAAAGCAAGCTGATTATACTTTCCCAGTAATGTGACAAAAAGTTAAATTTTTCTTTTACCCAAAGGGAGGTGTATGTGGGGGGGGGGGGGGGGGGGGGGGGGGGCGGGGGGGGGGGGGGGGGGGGGGGGGGGGGGGGGGGGGGGGGGGGGGGGGGGGGGGGGGGGTAAAATCATACTGATCAAACAGTAATCCAGTTGAGATACAAAGATCCCTCTGTGGGTTTTAGGATCAAATTTTATGGGGAAGAAAGGAAGAAGACCCACTGGCTATGGTGAAAAAAAAAGAGTAAAGGACCCTTTTCCACGCCTCTAGGTGTATAGGACATATATGAAAGAAAAGTAAAGGACCCTTCTCCACGTCTTTAAGCGTAAAGGGCATATAGGGCTAGACCTATATTTTTATAGACCAATCAGCACAAGATGGGTGATGTAGTCAGCATGACGCCGGCCGCCTTTACTTCCTGGGACTGCACCCGGTACCCACTCAAGGCTGGGTCGACCTGGGAGCCAAGGTCATTTTTGAAAAAAGTCCGGCTCTGCCAGGGAGCGAACCCACGACCTTCCAATCTGTGGTGACTGTCTAGCAGCTCCGCCACGGCGATCCCCACTGGCTTTGGTAGTTTGCTGTAATTGGATGTACTGGAGGGGGAGAGGCTGTAAACTACAAAACATGCCAACTGGCATATAAAGGGTAAGTGCTGAAGATGAAGAAATAAGGAATTTATTTTTAAAAAAAAAGCTAGACCTTGCCTGTTTCATAATGTATGGTGGCAAGCAAATATTCAGACTTCCAGCCACCTGCTCCTTATTACAGTAAGTAAAATAAATAACCCTTTTTTCATGTCAAGAGGTGTATTCTTCTTTTCCCGCCTTCTTGAGCTAGTGGAGCATTGGCCCTCAGCCAGCTCACTCCAAATCATTCTTTCCTTCGCTATTGCATGCAGCTCACCCTATTCCTCCCCATCTTTTTAACTTCACTTTCTAGCTCCCTTCTACATGTGTTTTTGGTCTGCCTTTATTTGTAAACTACAAAACATGCCAACTGGCATATAAAGGGTAAGTGCTGAAGATGAAGAAATAAGGAATTTATTTTTAAAAAAAAAGCTAGACCTTGCCTGTTTCATAATGTATGGTGGCAAGCAAATATTCAGACTTCCAGCCACCTGCTCCTTATTACAGTAAGTAAAATAAATAACCCTTTTTTCATGTCAAGAGGTGTATTCTTCTTTTCCCGCCTTCTTGAGCTAGTGGAGCATTGGCCCTCAGCCAGCTCACTCCAAATCATTCTTTCCTTCGCTATTGCATGCAGCTCACCCTATTCCTCCCCATCTTTTTAACTTCACTTTCTAACTCCCTTCTACATGTGTTTTTGGTCTGCCTTTATTTCTTTGAACCTAGGCGTTCTAGTGCAAATACATTCAGGTTTATATTGTTCTCAGGTTTTCTCAACGTATGTATTCAACGCCAGCATATTTTCTTCACCGCTTGGTCCACTGGAACTTGTTTAGTTCTCCCTCAAAGCTCAAAATTAGCGATTGTGTCATACCATTTAATTCCCACTGATCTGCGCAGGCACCAGTTAATGAATGTTTGTAGTTTATTAGTGGTTGCCTTAGTTGTTCTCCATGTTTCCACTCCATACAGCAGTACTGATTTGACATTAGAATTACAAATTTTAAGTTTAGTATTAGTTTTAATTTCCTTTGACCTCCACAAATTTCCTGGTGCCATGAAAGTTCCTCTTGGCTTTTAAATTTGTATTTTAACATCTCTATCAGTACCCCCATCTTTATCTACAATACTGTCCAAATAGTTGTATGGAGTAGTGGGAAATGAATAAGAGAAGCCAAATTATAGTGTATTATGTCTAGCCAACCATTTTTAAAAATAGATAGAAACTTGCACTTAATTGATAATGTGTTACTATTGGCCATCTTTATGTTCCTGTCTTAGGCTGGGTGAGACTCAGGGCCCAGGTCAATTAACAGAAAACCTTGTTTCAAGGAGGATTCAAACCACAACCACCAGTCAGTAAACTACTGGGACTTCCTCTTTATTGTAATACCAAATAAATGTTGGAAACAGGTGTGAATGGATGTTATCATCAAGTAGTGATTTACACACACACATATATATATATATATAGGGGCTGCGTTAGCGCAGTCGATATGAGGCTCACTTTCAAATCTAAATTGCGACTCACTGCAGCCCATGGCCAGGGTTCAAAACTGGGCGGTTTCCTGGGGTTCACCCAGCCTCTAGATAATGGGTAACAGAGTTAAAACTCTAGGATAAATGGAAGAACTTTGCCGAAGATACAGAGTTGCATGAGGACGACGACACAGGCGGACAGTTTCCTATCACCTGTCTGTACTGGTGGCAGAGCACTTATGGTTTATAACCGTGTGCAGTGACGCTGGTTCACATCTCCTGACTTTACTTTTTAAATATATATATATATATATATATATATATATATATAAAAACACACACTGACCAGACATTGAAGTTACAGCACCTCAAGGCTACGGATCTCAACATGTGGGTTGCGACCCTTTTGGGTGTCGAACGGCCCTTCCACAGAGTCACCAAAGACCATCAAAAACACATATTCACTGAAGTTTATGAAGTAGCAATGAAAATAATTGTGTGGTTGGGGGTCACCACAACATGAGAAACTGTATTAAAGGGTCGCTGCATTAGGAAGGTTGAGAGCCACTGCTTTAAGACCATGCTATTTTCTGACAGCTTAAACTTATTACTTGTCATTTGTGTGGATGTAAATTGCAAATGTTGTTCAACAGAAAACTGTGAAAATCAGAGACTCCAAATTTGGAATCGCCCTTGTTGTTGAAACTACACAAATGGTAAGTGAAACCTTGGTATTGGCATGTTTGAACATTCATGTCCTTTATACAGTCATACTGTGATCTTGGGGTTGGGGGAGGGAGTAGATCAGAGGCTACCGTGTCCAGTTAGGCCATAGCAGACTAGGTTAGTGGTATGGTGTTGACTGTTTGGATAAAAAAAAAATACCGATGAATCCCTTAAGAATCGACATCATAGGACATTGGGATATCCATAGGTGCTCCATCTCCTGCAGCAAATTTCTTCAGGTGTAGATGCTAACTGTTTCTGTAGCTCACTTATAATAAACTTGTAGTTTTATTTCTCTCACAACTCACACTTTGCTGGATCCACACCTAATTCCTCATTCACACATTCTTACACATGTTTTTTAATCTAACCTCGTATCTTCTGTCAGCATTCATTCATAACTGGTCTTCAGAATGTCTATTTTGTCCTGTATGAGTGTTCCTGTAGCTATAACTTTTCAGCCAGAAAATCGCTGTTTAATTTCCTTGCATGTCCGGTAATAAATAATTTTTTTTTTTTAATTTAAAAAATTTACTATTAAATAAAGTAATAATAATTATAAAACAAATTAGTGTCTCTAAAAAATCCTAAATGTAACAAGGAGAGATATGATCAGAAATGATTGTACCAGGAAACAAGTTGGGATGGATCGGGTGCTAAACTGCATCATGTGACAACAAATCAAAGGTTAGAACATGTCTCAAGATTACCACAGGATTGTTCACCACAGAGAGCCCAGTCACTAAGATACACAGAAGCAGAGCTAGAGGTCACCCTGGCTAGTGATGTGATAAATGGAATATCCCTGACTGTGAATACCAGCATCTACATAGCACTCACCAAGGCAGGCACCAGATACCCTTTCTAAACCTGACTCTGAAAGGCAGAACAGGACTAGACAAAAATAAGAAAATAAATGTATGGTACACCCTTCCATTATGCTAAGGTACAGGTCCCGCATTCTCAGACAAGGGTGAAATATTGGGAAGATTCTGATTCAGTGTTGTAAACATTCCTGGCCAGTTGCAAATTTTAAGCAGCAAACAAAGTAGGCCGTGACCCTGGCAAAATTTACAAGTTAAAAAAAAAAAGCTACTCAACCAAAAAAACTTTATTATGTCATCACATACGTTTATAAATAACACACATTTGAATCCTTTCCAGTGCTAATCAGTTTGTGCCCTCTGCTCAGATACTACCTGTATGATGTATTATAAAACAAAAGTGAAGTGATTATGCAGAAATCCATGTGCAACAAAAGTAACATTTTACAAATAAAACCTTATCAAACCATATTTTGTTTATTCAATTTAAATTGTTTGTATGAATTAATTTGTAATACAGATGTTCTAAGGGAGTCGCCGTGGCCGAGCGGCTAGACGCTCACCGTGGATCGGAAGGTGGTGGGTTCGCTCCCTGGCAGAGCCGGACTTTTTCAAAAAATGACCGTGGCTCTCAGGTCCACCCAGCATTGAGTGGGTACCGGGTGCAGTCCCGGGAAGTAAAGGTGGCCGGCGTGGTGCTGACCACATCACCCATCTTGTGCCGATTGGTCTATAAAAATATAGGTCTAGCCCTATATGCCCTATATGCCTATAGGCGTGGAATAGGGTCCTTTACTTTTTTTTACTTACAGATGTTCTAATGGTTAATAATGTCTGTGGGAAACTGTTATGTTTGACTAAAACAGATCATGACTGTTGGCTGAATAAATTTGTCAGGTATATAATTATATATGAAAATAAAGTTGAAGATGACTTTATTGGTCTTGTTTCTGAAGTCATTGATATTAATCTTAGCTGTGCTACTGTTTGCAACCTAAACAGTTTAGAAGGTTAGTATTTCTCTTCTTCTTGGTCCACAGTATTCTAAGAGTTTATTTGTGGCATTTCAGCTAAAAAGCACAGATTTCCTTCCTTAAAGATGACAGTGAACTGAACATAAATATTGAAGTAACAAACTGTTCCTCCATACTGGATAGCTGTTTAAATGGACATCTGTTTATATATTGTTCATTTTAGTTTTTAGTTTTTTTTGGTGTGGGTTAAAAAATTATATTGTCACAATGCCCTCATTATTGATAATATTTTTTGTGAGAATATGTTTAGTATGAAACTGTTATTCAGTGTTGCTGCTAATGAAAACAAATTAAGACAAATCATACAGATGTAAATATTTTCAGAGTGGAGGATATGTCCTTGGTTTCCGTATTGACCCAATGGAGAAGCTGCAGGCAACCACCAAGATGATTCAAAACTTGCACAGAATTTACAGTGCTTGTCCAGTGTTTGGTGTCGAGTTTGAGATGGATGATAAGGTATGCTCTATCAACACATTTTTTTTTTAGAGTGTCGCCATAGTAAACAGCTGTTCACAATTTGGAGGAATTTAAGATCAGTAAATTAAATTATGAAACAAAACTTTAATATTGCAACCCTTCATAGACAGAAGGGGTACTTTTCTGTGGTATTTGAAAAAAAACCAATTTAACTTCTTCTTCTTCACGTTCATCAGTGGAAAGTTCTGGTTGTTCGTCCACTTCTGGACTCTAGTCCTGTTCCAGAGCCAAAGTGTTGCTTGCACATTTGTTTTACAGATCTGACTCATTTGTATACAGACTGTTGGTTTCTTCCTTTCAGACAGATGCATTCTGACTCCGAAATGCTAGTAGGTGTGTGAAAAATGTATTTTTTAAGCTGTCTTTTCTCTATTAAGTAAGTAGTTCTTGTAGAATTCTCTCTTTTATTGATTTCACTTACTTTTTAACACAACTGCAAAGTCCCTAAAGGATTATCTTTCCTTTAGAATATTACCCAGAATGTACTAATATTTCTCCCAAAAGTGCTAATGTTTTTCCAAATACTTGAGTCGATTAAATCATTAATAAAATCTACTAATGAGAGTTTTGTAAATTATGATAGTGTCAATAGTTCCAGAAACCTTTAGCATGTGTGAATCAAAAGTTGCTACCAGTACACTTGGGACATTTCTACACTGCTCCCTCTCCTTCCTGAAGAGTTCCCATACTGCTGGTGTTAGCTGCAACCTGATTAAAAGTCAGTTTGTCTTTTTCCCTGTTCGTTGAAAATAATTCAGACTCTCTACTCACTCCCCATCTATCACTTTCTCAGTAATATTAAAATGGGCAATGTCTCACATAAAAGTGAGTAAAAGAAGCTATCTATATGAACTCTGTATGTTCTGTTGCACTATCCAATGGAGCCTTTATGATGTCTGCCTTTTCATAAAGTAGCCTGCCACCAAGAGAGTGGCAGCATCCAATCTATAAGCCCCCCCCCCCCCCTTTCAAATTAATAATATTGGTTTGGATTTAAGCTTCGGATTGCATCACTAATAATAATATGTCTGTGTGTAGTTACAGATAGTTTTACTAATGATAAGTTAATGTTAATTTAGATGTCTGCTTTTACTTTTGTCTGTTCCGCAGACTCAGACAATTGAGGAGATGGATCGGTCACCCATTCAAGATGATGTTGAAGTAGAATATGATGGGCAAACAGATGCTTTTGCGGTGAGTGTTGAGTATTTGTGTATTAATCTATTGTTTTTTTAAATTAGTTATAAGTAAAAATAAATCTTTAAGAAGACTAGTAGCTATCACTGGCATCCTGTCTTGCCAGATGGCGTAGGCATTTATGTTTCTTTACAGATCATGTTCACTGGTGTTCTGAATTAATACATCATTGTTATCGAGCAATTACATTGAACTGGTCCAACAAGCCTTCGGGTCAGAGATTCTAATTTTCTTCTTCTCCTCCTCCTGCTCCTTCTTCACCATAATCATCTTTCATCCGACATTAATGTGCTGTATCTGTTTACAGCATAGCTGCGATATTTGCACCTTTTCGCTGACACATCCGACTTTTTCAGGCATTTGTTTTCTGAGTGAGCCTTTCTGGTTATTCCCATGGGACTTTGAGGGACATTTTACAACTCCTTTGTGTGGTGATTTTTTTTCCCTCTGATATACAGGTGTTGTCTCAACAGGAACTGTGCAGGACAGCCATGTGCAGACCAGTCAGTCCTCCTGGAAGGGCAGAACTTAGGCATTTCCCGCTTTCTAAGGCAGCTTCCATAAGTGCAGAGCTGATGCATGGTGCTCTGCTACTGGGCTCATCCAAAGAATCACCTCTTGCACATGACTGCCTGACCTCACATCCTTGAAAATTTTGTGTGTGGAGGGGGAGGGGGGACGTCAAGAAGCCTAAGCCCTGTTTTAATGCTGAATACTTATATGATGGTTCCTCTTGCCAGTATTATGTTCTCAATACTCCTCAAGATAAGTAGATGAGTCTCTAAACATTTTTGTAAATTCTTCTTTTTATACTCCATGCTGTGTGGCATTGGTAATCCTGTCTATCCTTCTGTCTTGTGTACTTTCTGTCAACTCCGACACAGATGATCTTCCATGACATGATGTCAAACTGTCCAGAATCTTCTCTCTGGACTTTCTCTGCCTCTTTTACTCTCCAACTTTCCCACCATCAGAATGTACTCTAGTTTTTCCCTTCGTATGACATGACCCAAATTTTCTATTAAAAACTATTTTTGTTAACTTACTACTGTCATATTCATAATTTTTGTTTCTGGCCATAGGTGATGGTACACAGTACCAGCAGCTTGCTTTTTTTGTAGGCATCATGTTTTCATTGTTACTAATTAGACACTTTATAAATTTTTGGATAGCACATCACCTTTTATTTTGCCCTAGAAAAAAGCCTGTATCCTGTTTTTTGCCATTGTTTCTGTACCACGTCTGCAAGATTTATGACTGGCGTATGATTGTAAAAAAGTTAAGTAACATACATTTGAAGCTAAAAAAAAAAAAAGGCTTTCCTCCAAACTTCTACCCCGGCAATATGGCGGCCAAACAAATACCCTAACAGGGCCTCACTCCTGAAAAATGCGGACTTGTCGGACTTCCGGCCGAGGAACAAATCCCGACAAAACTAGGATCCGCTGAATAATGAAACAAATGCTCTAACAGGGTCTCAGCGATATGTTAATTGCAGACCTGTTTCTGTGACTATGCCTCAACGCCGACAGTATCCCCTGCGCCACTACGTGCGGTGCAGATGGGGGACTAAACTAGATGGCTGGGACTCACGAGCAGCAGCTACCGCATCTCCTGCAACTTCCTCCAGTTTATTTGCTCGTGAGCCCCAGGCATCTAGTTTAGCCGGGGGATACTGTTGTCGGTGAGTTTAATCGAAGAGCCAGTAAAACAACACCATAACTATGTTCTCAGTTGATTTGTTGCAGCTGGCAAAGAACAAGCCAGTGCGCACGCTACACTCAGTACTGCAGCGACCACAGCGCCACAAATATCTGTCAGAAACCACCTACCTCGGTGCCAAAAACATAGCACCCTGGCAGGACGAATATACCTGCGTGTTGTATAATAGCCATTGCAACCAGACCAGTTTATCAGTCATTAATCGATGCAAATTGACAGGTCTCACATCTACCGCAGCTAAATCCTCAATCGGGAGAACAGTATCGCTAATCTCCGTCGGAGCGCGTCGTATCCCTGCCATGTCGCTTTTATCGTCTGTAATGTTGCGTGTCTCAAAATTGTCAACGGTTGCTATTATCGTCTGCTACTATCGTCTGCAGTCGCTATTATCGTCTGCTACTATCGTCTGCAGTCCCTATTATCGTCTGCTACTATCGTCTGCAGTGTTGCATTTCTTGAAATTGACAGGTAATCCTTGTTTGTCCACGATTAGTTCATCGCAGGAAGTCGCGCATTTTTTATAGGACTTAGGTCCTGTTATGGTGTTTGTTTCGCCGTGGTAGAGGTTCCGAGGAGAGCCAAAAAAGTCATCATCCTCAGCTGCTACTTTGACTGTTTATTGGAGAGAAATAGTTTGTAGCCCAGCACTCAGTGGTAAGCACTGGCTAATATAATTCTCTGTGGATGTATAACGTTAAATGAAGTATTAGTATAAAATAATGATTCATATTCTTTTTTAGGCTTACTTTGCTGATGGCAACAAGGAAAAAGACAGAGAGCCTGTTTATTCTGAAGAGCTGGGACTGGCAATAGAGAAATTGAAGGATAATTTTACCATTGCAGGCTTGTGGGAGGTGACCTCATAATGCACTATGAGTTAAATCAGAACCTTCAGCTAATTCTGTGAGACTGGGACAGTTTTCCTTGTGAATTCATCTCTTTGGATATTATACGTTTGTAGAAAGTTGCAGTGTGCCAACTGATTTAGGAAATGCTACATTTTACCTAAATGTGAAGTGAAGTTATTTTTATTTATGATGAAATAATATTTAACAGTTACATAGAGCTGTACAAACAATTCTCCAAGAAAATGTTTCAAGTAAGTTTGAGGCAGCTTGGTCTCCTGTAAATATATTTGGACCTAAGTTTGTTATGCTTGTGAAAGCTATTGAGCTGTTTATGCTAGTGCTGTACCACAGCTCTTGAAAGAAGTATGGGACAACTACAAGTTCTGCAGTTTTATACTGACTACGATATACGGTCATGGTTAAATGGGAGTTTCTTCTTCTTTTGCTTTGCCCCATACAATTACAGGTGGTATGTTGGGTCATGTTTTGCAGCTGTGCTATGAAATCTGTACCTTTCAGCCCAACACATCCAATTTCAGCAAATCGTTAACTTGTCACCTTTTATGTCATACTTTTTAATGAGCAGTGTATCTATTCTTTGTGAACGATCGGGTTTGTCACCTCAACAAACCACCGCAGAATTACTGATGATCACCCCAGCAGCCTTTGGTGAAATATTTCCTGTATATTTAATAATAATAATGTTAAAGTATTAATGAATTGCAATAGTCTTATAAAATAATGTGGCTAGTTCCCTTCATTGTCATCTTTATTACCCTGACAATTCCCCCCAAATTCCGGAAACTATAGAACATTGTAGTATAATTATTAGTATGCTGTTCAAAAGAAAGAACTAGTTCCACAATGGTTACCAGCTCATTTTGTACTGGGAATCATAAGGACAGATGACTTTGCTGATTGTTATGATAACATTGAGCAATCCAATTAATCCCATAGATTTAGAGGGGTAAAGACACATGCTATGAAAATGTGGTGGAGAAGTCAATGAAGATTACAGTTCAACAAGTTAGACACTGTGGACTTTGAGCAAGCTTTAACTGAATGAATCTCAAACATTCTAATACTCGCAGATGTTGAAAATGTGGGGGTGACTGCAGTCAAGCTAATACAAGGAATTCCAGTGAAATGTGACTGAAAAGTTTAACGAAATTGGGATGCAGAAAAACGTGCACAAAACAACAATGTCAGGTTCTCTTGTTTTGTGCACATTTTTTGCTTCCCCATTTCGTTAAGCTTTTAAGTCACTTTTCACTGGAATTCTTTGCAGATGTTGAGCACCAAAAATAAACCCCAACAACAGACCCTAGAAATTGTCAGACAAAAAATGGAAACAATCTGGCTGTAGCCAATGCTAAACTATACCAAATGACAACAGATAGGATGGTTCAGACATGTTGTATCAAATCTACCACAGAATAGTGCACCCAGTCCTCTGTCTTAAACACAATAGAAGCAGAGCTAGACTTTGAGCATGTTAGCGATGCATAGATGGAATATTTAAGGCCTGAATACCATCATCTACTTAGCACATACTAAAGCTCACACTAGATGCCTCTTCAAAACCTGACACTGAAAGACAGAACAGGACTAGAGAAAAGAAAAAGACAAAGAAATGGAAATCTAACTTGCAGGCGAAGCTCGACAAGACAGTGGGAAACCAGTGAAGATGCCAGAACTCCATTCCTAGTCATGAACCATACCAGAAACACATTGGTGACATTGAATATAAGGAGGGCACAAAGAAGAAAGGTAATCTTCCATCCAATGATTCCGATTCTGTTATTAATTAATTCAGTAACATTTGTGTGTGTGTGAGTTGATTTAGTTGATTAAATTTGTTTGTGTTACTGTCTAATAGGAGTAACATTGATGTAGCCAAATATTTATATTGGTGTTACCATCAGGAATTTGTAACATGCTGGTATAGATACTTGTGCGTGTGTTTGAGTGATTGTTTTTGTATGTATAAGTAATCAAAAGAGTGAGACAGAAACAAAAGAGAGAGAGATATGTGTGTGTGTGTGTGAGAGAGAATCTTATAGAGCTCTGTGATTTGGACAAATACTAGTGTGGTTGGGAGGGGGGGGGTGTAAAGGGGGAGGGTTGGGCTTAAAGAAACCTAAAGTAACGGCTGCTAATGACATCGAGTGAAAAGCAACAAGTGAAGATTGCTTAGGGTAGAAAGACTGAAAGTAACAGATGCTTTTGACAGAGTGAAAATAATAAACAACATTTGTTTGGGACAAGAAAGCTTCAAGTAACAATTGCTTGGAATATAAAGATACAGCTTATTCAGTACCAAGCAACTCACCATGCATTTTTTGGGTTTTGTTTACATTTTCTATTCATGCTGTGTGCTGATGAAGGCTTTCTAGCTTCAGCGTTCATGTGTCGTTTGTGATTACGGAAATGTGAAGCAGGCTGGTTGTGCTTGCTGTTTATGATTACAGTAATGTGAAGCCTGGCTGGTTGCGCTTGTCGTTTGTGATTACGGTAATTGAAGCCTGGCTGGTTGCGCTTGTCATTTGTGATTATGGTAATGTGAACCTGGCTGGTTGTCCTTGCCGTTTATGATTACGGTTATGTGAAGCTGGCTTGTTGCGCTTGTCGTTTGTGATTACGGTAATGTGAAATTGGCTGGCTGCGCTTGTTGTTTGTAATTACGATAATGTGAAGCTGGCTGGTTGCGCTTGTCGTTTGTGATTACGGTAAAGTGAAGCGGCTGGTTAGGCTTGTCATCTGTGATTACCGTAATGTGAAGTTGGCTGGTTGCACTTGCCGTTTATGATTACAGTAACGTGAAGCTGGCAGGTTGGGCTTGTCGTTTGTGATTATGGTAATGTGAAGCTAGCTAGTTCCGCTTGCTGTTTATGATCACAGTAACGTGAAGCTGGCTGGTTGGGCTTGTCGTTTGTGATTATGGTAATGTGAAGCTGGCTAGTTCCGCTTGCTGTTTATGATCACAGTAACGTGAAGCTGGTAGGTTGGGCTTGTCATTTGTGATTGCGATAATGTGAAGCTAGCTGGTTGCGCGCGTCATTTGTGATTACGGTAATGTGAAGCTGGCTAGTTGCACTTGCCGTTTGGTTTGATATCTTTTCACACAACTTACTTTAGACATTACTCTTAACTGCTCTTTCACACATAGCACACTCTGCTCCACTTGAAACTGTAATTAAGTAAATAAAGTATGTCAAATATTTTTTTTTCTTCAGTCATATTTGGCATACAGAGCTAGACCAGTATTTTATAGACCAGTTGACACTCAGTGGTGTCAGCATTACACCGACTGCTTTTACTTAAAATTAAAGGACCCGTTTTCACTGGGGCCCATTTAAAAGTAAAGGACCCTTCCCACGCCTAAGGGATATTAGGTTAGACCACGTCCGGCTGCATATATAAACCTGGAGCTGGTCGTGGTTAGACGGATGGAAAGAGATTGTTTACTTACACATGGTTGCTCTCCGTGTGGATCCCGGGGCCCCACTGTGGAGGGAAAGTAAATAGACCCACTGCTTCCCTAACAAGCATGTCATAAGAGTCAACTGTTTAGGGGTTTCCTTCAAAGTCAGAGTGCATCTGCCTAGGAAACCAGCAGTCTGCATACGGATAAACCAGATATGTAGAACAAATGTTCACGCAAAACTGAAGTCCTGAAGCGGACTAGCAACAAGATTTTTCCGACCGGAATTTACAGCCGGTGAAGGAGAAGAAGATACATGGTTCTAGCGATTCAGGAAGGCTACCAAATGTATCTTGTCTATATAATAAACACATAGCTTGTATTAAAATAATTTATATAGATTGTTTGTGTCATCGAGACACAGCATTACGGTTCGATGTGTTTATAATTGTTGTGTTTATTTGACTTGTGTTTCGTTGATATATTCTGTAACATATGGTGGGTTAAAGTGGTTTGGGACGATTTTTGTCCTTTTTCCAGTTGTGGATTTAAACTGTACGCCATACATGGCTAATGAAGACACCTATTATATGAGTGCCTAACTGGCCACACGACTTAGTAACTTGTTCCTGCAGCGAGACGCTTTCATCATTTGAAGTTGACTGGTTCAATTCTTAGCATGGTAAACTATAGCTTTAGATGTTTGTGTTGTTTAATGTGTCCTTCTATCTTTATACTTATTTCTGTTAGTGCCAATCAATGCTCGCCCATATACTGTCTTTACGACCCGAAGGGTTCCCTGTCTGTTTATTTATGAATGTGTGTCAAGGCTGTGTATTAGGCTACCCCAACTACAGCCAGGCAATTTTGACTCCAGGATACAGTGAGTCAATATTTTCTCACCTCCACCTTCAGTTTGAGACTCCAGTTTTATGACTGCTCCCAACATAAATGTCACGCGCTTCATGTTTTGTAGTACATTATTATCGATATGCAGTTCATTGTTTACTTTTATTTTGAGTTTTGTATGTCTTTGGGAGTCGCCGTGTAGTGGCTAGACGCTCGCCTGCAGATCGGAAGATCGTGGGTTTGCGTCCTTACGGAACATGTCTTTCTTTATAAATGACATTGTCTGTCAGATCGACCCAGCCTTGAATGGGTACCAGGTGCAGTACTGGAAAGTTAAGGCGGCCAGCGTGATGCTGACCACATCACCCACCAAATGCCGATTGGTCTATAAAATATAGGTCTAGCCCTATATGCCCAGTATGCCTGAAGGTGTGGAAAAGGGTCCTTTGCTTTACTTTGCATGTCTTTCATGACTTGGAGCCAGTGGGTCTGAACACCCTCTCGATTCCGGTGCTATTGTCCAGAAGATGAGTGGCCTACCTTCTGACCCCAGGGTCAAGGATTTGATAGTTGGTCTCTCCAGATGAAATGAAAAAAAAAAAAAATCCTACTAAGCGACCGGCCCTGTGTCTTACATGTTGAGGAAGACGCAACAAGCTTCGATCTCTGAGGGGACAATTAAGTCAGACTTTTTGTGACTTTCAGATCGAGGTACGATAGTCGCACTGTGAAAGAGATTGTGTCC